CTGATGGCGCGTTAGTCGTTGCTGGTGGTGGGCCCGGTGAGTCTGCAGTAGCTTTCCCTTCAGGAGCCATAGTATTGCAGACTTTGAGGTGTAATGAGTAACCTTATAAAAGAGTTGTTCTGAAAAGAACGAGAACTTGACAGATCGTATAATCCACTCTGGCTCTCATACCATGCTGATGTAACCAAGGATCCAGTGGATAGGATAGTGTGAAAAGTTTAGAAGAAAGAAGAGGATTGCACTAGCAAGAATGAGGATACAAATAGCAAACCCTAGAAGGGTTGTACTCGCTATAGAGCACCCCACTACAGGCTAGAGCATAATATTCTGACACACCCCCATAGCCGAAGTGGGGTGTAATCAGCAGAGCAAGCAAATCAGTACAAGCTCAGGGTGGATCACAAAGTCACCACACATTCTGAGCACAAGTGAGAGAAGCAATAGTTTAAGTTCACAATTATGAGCAAAGCTAGAGGCTATCACAGAGGGCATGTGTGGAGGAGGAGGGACTATGGGGGAGAAAAGATGGGAGGCGATTGCTGACGCTGCAGACACACACACGAGCTGCTGGCTCAGTGGCTACTGGAACAGCGCTCCGGACTACTGGAGTAACTGGCCCCGCGGCTAAAGTAGCGGCAGACGAGCAACGGACCCACGGGCGACTGGCGACTACCGGAGATTGTAGCCTCCTGACTACTGCAGCTGCTGACAACAAGACTGGTGCCTCCACTCAACCTCCCCCAGCTGCCCAACGCCCCTCTCATACACCCACTGCTACACTCCTAGCTCCACTCTGTGAAACAGAGAACGCGAATGAATGAACTATGAGTGAAGTGAGTACATATAGGAAACCCTAATTGGGTTGTACCCCCTATGGGATACCCCACTACAGCCTACACAACAACATAAGCTATATATAAAGTTTTGACACACCCCCATAGGCAAAGTGGGGGAGAACAAGGGGTCACAAGACCAGTCAAGCAAAGCAGAGCAAGCTCAGGGTGGATCACAAAGTCACCACACAGTCCGAGCACAACGACAAGGCCACAAGGCCAGTTCACATGCAGGAGTACACACATATATATAGAGCTAGACAAGCAAGAGCAGGTATATGTATGTGACACTACAAGCAAGGTCAAGAGGAGAGCAAGTGAGGCAAGAGAGGTACAAGACCCAGCTGAGTGCAGAAGCGCTGATGGTCACAAGGCGCGAGTGCCTTGGTGAACACGTCAACAGTGTTGGCCTCAGAGGCCACGTACGCAAGCCGCAACTGTCCACGCTGCTGTAGCTCACGAGCAAGGAAGTAGCGGAGAGCAATGCGCTTCGTTCTGTGCTCCAGGCGCTGCTCTCGACACAAGGCCAGCATGGCCTTGTTGTCTACGTACAGCACTGGAGGAGAACGAGGCGGCTCTCCAAGGTAAGTCAGCAGGTAGGTGAGCCAGCGAAGCTCCTGTGCAGCCATGGCCCCGGCGTAGATCTCAGCCTCACAACTGGAGCTGAGGATAGAAGACGAGCGAGTAGCCCGCCACGAGACAGAGCCGGAACCAAGACTGAAAGTGTAACCCTGTGACGACCGCTGCGTAGCCTGGTCGTCAGCTCAAGAAGCATCCGCGTGCCCCGTAAGGACCACTGGACTCCGCCCTCCAAGCACTAGCCCCATGCCCGACGTACTGCACAGGTAGCGCAACACCCTCTTCGCTGCAGCCATGTGCTCTGGTCGGTGTCTCCCAGGAGCAACATAGCGTGCAAGAATGCTAAGAGGGTATGCAAGGTCAGGTCGTGTGCAGGTCATCACGTACATGAGGCAGCCAACAAGCTCTGGGTACGGGCCACTCGACTCTACGAACTCATCCGAAGGCAGAACTGAGAGGAGTGGCCTGAGGCGAGAAGTACGTGAAGCCGAAGCGCTGAAGGACCTGCTGCACCATGTGTGAATGAGTCAAGGTAATGGTGCGGCGTGCTCTGTCCCGAGTGATCTGCAAGCCAAGATAGCTGCGCAGTTCACCCAGGTCTATGCACGTGTGTCTTCAGCAGCTCGGACTTCACGTAGGCGAGTCCAGCAGTGTCCGCTGTGGCAAAGACCAAGTCGTCGACGTACACGAGGATGTAGAACGGCGGCAGAGAAGTGTCGGTGCGCAGAAACAGCGACGGGTCAGCAGTAGAGGGAGCAAACCCAAGAGCCGCAAGCGTAGTCCTCAGTGTGTCGTGCCACTCACGCGGTGCCTGGCGGAGACCGTAGACTGGCCGTCGGAGGCTCCAATGGGTGCCAGGAGGGAAATTCCCAGTGAAGCCAGGTGGACGGCGCAGCCACATCTCCTCGTGCAGGCTACCCTGCAAGAACGCAGTGCTGAAGTCAAGAGAGTGAAGCGCGTAGTCGCGCTGAGCTGCTATGTGCAGCAGCACCCGAAGAGTAGTCATCTTCGGGGTGGGAGAGAAGGTCTGAAAGTAGTCAACTCCCTGCCGCTCACTGAAGCCACGAGCGACGTACCGCGCCTTGAAGACAGGTTGAGAGCCCGGCGGCCGCTTCACCCTGAAGATCCACATGCCACTGACGATGTTCGCCCCAGGAGGGGGAACCGCGTCAACGTAGGTGCCTGTGGACTTCCAGGAAGCCATCTCTGCATCCATAGCTGCCTGCCACTGAGAGGAGTAGGGACCTTCTACGGCCTCCCCGTAAGAGCGCGGAGTCGGGATGTCTAGTGCATCCGGGTCTCCCTCAGGGGCAAGCAGTAGAGACGCGAGACTCAGCAACAAGGGCGGCGTGACAGTAGGACTGGCAGCACGAAGAGAGTCCGACTCCGGGTCGGCAAGCGCAGGAAGAGAGGACGCAGGAGAAGAAGGCAAAGGGGCACGCAGAGGAGTAGTGGACGGACGCAGAGACATCCGGTGCGTGCTAGGGACAGGAGGAGGACGCTGACGTGAACCGCGACCACTAGCGCGAGCAGCACGAACAGGCGACGCGGGACGAGACGCAGGCTCACGACGCTCAGCAAGACCTCCAGTAGGACCAGTGTAAGGAGAGGGAGCAGGCAGTGGGGAGGCGGGCTCTAACTGTGACGGTGACTGGACAGGCGGAGGACACTCTAAAGGAGGAGAAAGACCAAGAACCTGCTGCAGGAGCGGAACGAAGTACGGCCGAGGCCGCACGGCGACTCCAGACACAGCAGGGACAGCACGAGCACCCTCAGCGGCAGCACCAGCGCTAACAGCACCTCCAGCGGCAGGACCTCCAGCAGCACCAGCAGCAGGACCACCGCCAGGACAAACAGCAGCAGTCTCAGCACCAACACCCTCAGCAGCTCCAGCTCCAGTAGGACCCGCAGGCCCAGCAGCTCCGGGACCGGCGGCACCAGCACCCTCAGCGGCCGAAGAAGCTCTAGCTCCAGCAGCACGCCTCCAGCGGCGAGCAAACCACTTGCGCAGCTCCTGTGGAGAGAGTGGCTCCCGCCGAGACGGAGCACCCGGAGAACCTCCACGCCCAGCACCGCTAGACGCCACAAGGGGAGGTCCAGCGGCCGCAGGCTCCGCACCTCCAGGATCAGCAGCCCCAGACGAAGCACCCCCAGGCTCAGTAGCTCCAGACGTAGCACCCCCAGACTCAGCACCCCCAGGCTCAGCAGCTCCAGACGCAGCACCTCCAGGCTCAGCAGCTCCCTACGTAGCACCCCCAGACTCAGCACCCCCAGTCGCAGTACCCCGAGGCTCAGCACCCCCAGGCGCAGCACCCCCAGTCACAGCACCCCCAGTCGCAGCACCCCCAGACTCAGCACCCCCAGGCTCAGCACCCACGCGCACGGCACCCCCAGAGTCAGCACCCCCAGAGTCAGCACCCCCAGGCTCAGCACCCGCAGTAGTACCAGAGTCACCAGCAACCTCGACCGGCTCGACCGCGTGTACCTGGGACACACCTGAAGGGACAGGACCCTGAGGGGGAAGGGGGTCTACCGGGGGGGGACCTGGCACAAGGAAGTGTGGCGGTGGGGGGAGGGAAGGAGTGCGGTAGGGGAAGAGACGGTAGAAGGGGACCGACTCGTCGAACGTGACGTCCTGGGAGGACAGAACACGACGAGAGGAGGGGTGGTAGAACTGCCACCCTGGGGCGTCAGGGGGGAAGCCGAGGAAGACACAGGGAGCAGCACGGGGGGACAGCTTGTCCGCAGACAAGTCGCGGACAAACGCCCGAGATCCCCAGACACGGAACGCAGACGCATCGCCGACCTTTCCCGTCCACAGTAGAGCTGGGGAGGTCTCCGGCCGGGAGACCCTGGGGTGAAGGTTGAGCTGATGCGCCGCGTACCGAACCGCAAACGGCCACAAAAAATGGGGGGCAGCCGCATGCATCATGGACGTACGAGCAACGTCCATGACCATGCCAATGCGGCGCTCACCAATCCCATTTTGCTGTGGAGATTCCGGAAGCGTAAAGGTCTGGCGGATGCCCCGTGCACGACAGTAGGCCCGCAGAAGGCCAGAGGAGAACTCCCCACATCGGTCACAGTGCGGACGCAGAACAGGAAAGTCTGAGCCGAAGCTCCTCCTGAGCTGGAGACGAGCCTCGCGGATCCAGTCGATCAGCACCTCAGTGACATCACCCTTGCTGCGCAAAGGGAAGACTAAGGTGTAACGCGAGTAGTCGTCAACCACCAGCACGAAGTAGCGCTCGTGACCCTGCCCACGGACGCGGGCCGGGCCCCACACGTCCATGTGAAGTGTCTGCAGAGGAGCCTCTGTCGGAGGAAACTGGGAAGAGTGAGGGGCAGCCCGGAGGCGCCCCTCGACACAGGGGACACAGGATGGTCTTGGTCCCGAAGGAAGGGGAGGGAGAGACCGGGGGAGACCAGAGACAAGGACATGGGAAGCCATGCCCCGAAGACGAGGCAAGGAGGGGTGGCCAAGACAGTGGTGCCACAGGAGAGTCTCGTGAGACACGAGGCGACACAAGCAGGGGGCAGACTCAGGACCAGACCGGGACGCAGCAGCAAACACCTGAACCGACGCAGCTACCTGGCCAGACGCAGGGACAGGAGGAGACGGAGTGGTCAGGGTGTAGAGACTCGAGCCCGGCCGACGCGAGAACGTGGCCAGGTGTCGGCCTGTGCGTGCGTCCGTTTAGTGGGTCACCCACTGACTCGAAGGAGTAAACTGGTGAACCCCCGCATCCTGCAGGTCAGCACCACTCACCAAGTTCGTCGAGAACGAGGGGAGGTACAGACCAGATAGGGTGCCCGAAGGGGCAGCCGGACACGGGAGGACAGTGGAGAAGTGAGAGAGGACAGGACCCCCAGAGGGGTCAGCCAGGGAGACTGCAACCGGCCGACCAAGCGGCGTGACTGTGGTGCGGTCTCGAAAGAAGGAGCGAGAAGCCCCTGAGTCAAGTGTGAAAGTGAGGGAGGCCGAAGCCGACGCAGTACCTGAGAGCGCAGCCTCACCAGTACCTGAGAGCGCAGACGCACTGGCACCTAGAGCAGCAGTCTCACAAGCACCTAGCGCAGCAGTACCAATGCCCGGGTCGGGCGGGAAACACCGGTAACAGTCACCCTCCTCACTAATAGTCACAGCATACATGGCAGCAAGGATAGCATCAAAGTCAAGATCAAAGATAGCTACACCAGCCCTAAACAGCTCTCCCCAGCGGGGAATCTCACTAGCCTCGGGGAACTGCTGACGCCAAGCGTCCGTCAGGCGGCCAAAGCAGCGCTGGGTGGGGTGGGCACCCCCACACTGCTCACTCGCGCGGTCGCCGGAACGAAGGACGCAGGTGCACGGACCAGAACCCCCACCCCTCTGACGCTGCGTGTACCACTCACGGAGCTGCTGGAGCGGGGGGATGTCCCGCGAACGCTGCTGCTGCTGCTGCTGCTGGCGCTGACCACTACCAGAGCCGCTCCACTGCGGGGCACCACCCCGACCAGCTCCACCCCCTCCGCCACCGCTGCCTCGACCTCCGCCACCACCGCCGCCTCCACTCCCACCGCTGCCGCCGCCACCGCCGCCTCCTCCGCTGCTGCCACCACCACCACCGCCCCTGCCACTACTCCCACCGCCACCCCCACTCCCTCCGCCGCCTCCACCGCCACCTCCACCGCCCCCTCCAGCTCCACCCGCGCCCTTGCCCCCCTTGCCCTTGCCAGGGCGGCGTCTCCCGCTAGGGGCAGACGCCGCGCCGACCGACTCAAGACCAAGCAGGTCGGCAGCAGCAACAGAGGCAACAGAGGGCAGCAAGGGGGAAGGAGAACACCCCTCAAAGATGGGGGTGCGAGGGTCGCCACGAGTGGCTCCTACAGCAACGATGCTCTTCTCCGCCGCTAGGAGGGCCTTCTCGAGGAGGTCGATAGTGAGAGTGGTGGGACAGACTGAGAGGAAGTGGTCCCTGACTACGCAAAGGGAGTCAGGGAGGCGTGTGACTATGTAGTAGAGAGTGATGTACATGGGGGGGGGGGTTCTTGGCGCAGAACTCAGCAGGAAGGGCGGCGCTGTAGCGAGTGTCACTAGTGCGGAGGTGCGTAATGAGGTCAGCGACAGTGGGAAAGGCAGTGAGATCAGGAAAGAGGTACGGTAGCATGAGACGGCTCAGTGCAGCAGTGGCAGGGGAAGAGTAGCGCGCAACTACAGCGTCGTACAAGGTCTGAGCACTCTTGTACTGACTAAAGTGCGCGCGCTCAGTGGTAGGGAGGTGGCGACGCACAGCAAGACGTGCAGCAGCATCGCGGGTGGCCCACTGAGAGCGAACAGTGGGGTCAGCATCTGTAGCAAGAGCAAGAGAGGCGCCAGAGGTGAGGTCAAAGAGAGAAGGACCGTCCGCCCTATCGCACTGTAAAAACAGCTTGAGGTCGTCGACCCAGACCTCAAAGTCAATGGCTCGACCCTCAGCGTCAAAAGCGAGGACACTGGGGGTAGCCATGACGACAAACTAGCAGTGAAAGCAGTGGGGAGTAGGGCACGCAGTAGCAGTGGGGCGTGCTCACCAGATAGGGCAGGACAGGCGGCTCGGCAAAAGGGCGGCTCGGCTGCAGGGCGGCGCGGCTGCGGGGCGGCTCGGCGGCTCGGCGGCTCGACAGCAGGGCGGCAGGGCGGCTCGGCGGTCGGGCGGCCCGGCGGCTCGGCGGCTCGGCTGCTCGGCGGCTTGGCTGCACAACGGCTGGGCGGCTCGGCTCCTCCGGTGCTCAGCGGCGCGGCGGTCGGCTGCTCGGGTTCACGCAGTAGGGTGGTGCAGTGGGCGAGGAGAGCGGCTGGGCCGCTAAGCAGGGTGGTGGGCCTCGGGGCGCGCTTCGGTGGGCCCTAGAAGCAGTCCCTAGGAGGGAACCTGCTCTGATTCCATGTGAAACAGAGAACGCGAATGAATGAACTATGAGTGAAGTGAGTACATATAGGAAACCCTAATTGGGTTGTACCCCCTATGGGATACCCCACTACAGCCTACACAACAGCATAAGCTATATATAAAGTTCTGACACACTCCCCCTTCACCCCCCCTTAGTACCACTCCACCAGCTCCAACAAGTCCACCCCCCCTCAGCGGTAGCTGCAGCACAAGGAGACGGAGGAAGAGGAGGAGCAAGGGAGACCACACACCCGCCACCCCCCAGGTCGCCCCTCCCGTCGCCTGTCGAAGCGACCTGAGGGGGGCCGCGTGCGGACCCCGAAGGAGCCGCGACGGGCGACGGCAAAGGGGGGGGGGGGGGGGGGGGGGAGGGAGGCGGTGCCGTAGGTAAGGCGACGGGCCCGAGCCGTAGGTAGGGCGACGGGGCCGGGGCCAGGGCAGCAGGTTGGGTCGCCCGAGCCGCGCACAGGCGGCCCGAGCCGCGCGCGGGCCTGGCGCAGCCCGTACGGGTGGTGCGCGGGCCTGGCACAGCCCGTACGGGTGGTGCGCGAGCCTGGCGCAGCCCGTACGGGCCGCGCGCTGCCTGTACGGGCCGCGCGCAGGCCAGGCGCAGCTCGTACGGGCCGCGTGCTGCCTGTACGGGCCGCGCTCAGGCCACGACGGGGCCGAAGCCCGCCGTGCGCCCAAATCTGCCACACGCCACTGGGCGTGCGGCACCAAGTGTAGTGCTAGTAGTTGCAGCGGAAGCAAGGAGGTGGTAAGCCCACCCACAGGATCGATCCAAGGGAGATCGACCTGCTCTGATACCATGTGAAATGTTTAGAAGAAATAAGAGGATTGCACTAGCAAGAATGAGGATACAAATAGCAAACCCTAGAAGGGTTGTACTCGCTATAGAGCACCCCACTACAGGCTAGAGTATAATATTCTGACGGATAGAATCTGTTAAGTATGAGAGGAGACAATGAAGTCTTTGTAGTGATCTTGTTGAATAATAATTGAAGGAGAACAAGATGATTGAAAGATAGGAGTATAAGGGATGAAATAGAAATATAGCTAGCCATGTACTCTAAGGGGTACATTCCCTTATTAACTGTATTGCATAGCTACAGTAACCGTGACTATTGCTATCCTCGACAGTTACCATGTTCCAGTGAATTAACTGTCGCGCGGTTACTGGATTGTCAAGGGTCACGACCATTGATTTTCTCAGACGGTTGACCTTTGGGTGACCCTCGACATCCCGCATGCTCTATATGAGCTATTACGGTACTGGTACAGTGGAACAGCTTCGGGAATGCTTTATATAACCTTTCGGTTATTCCTACACCCTGCACCGTGCAACCCTCCCAGCAGGCAGATTCCTGCGAAAACCCCTTTCATAATCACATCACATGGTGAACCCGAAACCAGCAACAGGGGGACAGTTGCAACTGTAGATGATACTAACAAAAGTGGATTTGGCTGCCCATCCACCAGAAACACTGCGTTAATAGCATTCTTGAGACTAGCACAAAGCAAACGGGTTGAGGTCATGCTGCCTCAGTTTCTCAAGTTGCTGGATACAAGAAATTCGTGCCGAGTGCCCAAGGGGGATAGCAAGTTGACAGAGGGGGAGTGGAGGGACGGAGAAGTTCCGAACATTGAGAAGTATCAGATTTGGAACCTCAAGCAAGAGGGCAGAGGCCATGCTACATTGGTTTCTCAAGTTGCTGGACACAAGCCACTCGTGCCGGGTGTCTGAAGGGGACACCAGGTTCACAGAGGGAGAGTGGAAGGATAGAGAAGTCTCAAACATTGAGAAGTATCGGATTTGATTTAAGACCCATGTCTGGTATGCCAAGGACTTGAGCCATAGCATGTTGTTGGGCTGAGACGCCCTAGGATCTTTGTACAGTTAAAGTCTGAGTAGATGTTGTAATACGGTAGCGGAAGTGTTGAATGAAGTCTTTGAACCAGCGTGCGCTGGTATGTGAGGGCAAAGTAAGTAAATTAAAGCAAGGAGATACAAGAATATAAATAGAGTGAGTACAGAGAATATGAGGAGACATTATAACTAATTTCACTGTTGCGGTTTCGATACAGTGCGACTCGGGCAACTGCTCAATGTCGAGTCAGTTGTTTGTCCTTGCTGTCGCGCTGCGTCAGGTCAAAGGTCGCTGACCTTTGACTTTCCTGTAACCTTCGACGGTTTCGTTAACCGCTTTGGTTGACTCGAGATGCTTCGACTTGAGCTGCTTTGCTTTGTGCCTTGAGTTCTGACACGACAGAGGCGCTTAACTTATTTGTTCCCAACACATGTAACATATGTATGTATGGTAATAAGCTTACTGGTCTATCGAGCTACGAAATTTGAATGGAAAATTCTTTAACAAATCGTGCATAGAAAACTTGTAGAGATTATGCTACCGTATAGTTTCTATGATTTCTTTCTATAAATTATACATTGCAGGTGAAGATTTGTTGGTCCTTGTATCATTTTTGGAAGTGCTGGCTTCCCTATATGTTTGTTGGGGTTTTAATTCCGCCCTGTTTACAACATTTGAATCAGGCATTGATTAATTACTGAACAGAAAAGATTTTGTATACCTAAATCACTCTAATCCGAACCGGTTCAGTTGTTACCGCTTTGGGGCTGAGTTGTGCCAAACTGCCTTCCGTTGCGCGTTTGATGGAAAACAAGTCAACACGATACTCTTTGAAATACGACTTAGAGCTGCCGAAATTCCCCGCATGCGACGTGAAACCCGATAACCTAATTATTTTCTTTGTCCAGCGCTGGGACAAAAACGGGTTCCGAGGCTCACTAACGTTTAGTCTGTCGCAAGGGCCTCGTTAGTAGAACTTGCATGTAGCGGGCGGTTCGCTGTAACCCTATAAATGCGCGCTCGGTTAGGTCGAGGTCGGTCCAGAAGGATCGAGTCAGGTCGTGTGAGGAGGCACGTGGGTGAACTGGCCCCCCTTCCGTTCAGACGCCGGTCTGACCGAGCTTGGGCCAGAAAACGCAGCAGCAGCTTTCGTCGGCCCCCTTCCAGGCAGCCTCTCAGTGCTGTGTAGGCGATTTCCATCTCTCAGCCTCACCTACGTGTTCAACTCTTGCCCCGTCACCATGTCGCGGAAGTAGTCTGTTTTCGAGGCGCGACCACTACTAGTAGGGGAAGTGGTTAGTAGCAGATCAAAGTCCCGCCGCGCCGCGCCGCGCGCCGCCAAAGTCAACTGCGATGCAGCCGCGAGCGTGGCTTGCACTCTCCGCCGCTCTTTGGCTCACTGCCTTCATCTCTCCATGCCATGCGCAAGTCGTGATCAACGCCACGCAAGGTACTGCCTCCGTCCCTCCTCGCATGCTTGCCAGTGTAGGTACTAGTAATATACGGAATGCTTCTCTAGTTTGTACCTCCCTTCCTCCTCGCAGCCTGGGCGGGATAGCGATACTATTACCATGCGACTAATAGAAGTGCGCAAAGACATGTAGTAGGCACTCATGGTTGGACTGCCACGACAGGTCGGCGGTAACTTACTCATCCGAAAATTCATGGTATACCGCAGGTAATACCGAGATGAGGTGGGAACAGCGAGCAATGCTTCCCAACCTCCCTTTCCCTACCTCGTTCAAACCTCACTGTGGAACTATCACCACTCGGTGTTGCACTGCCACAATGCGACTGAATAGCACTCGTGCGGCACGGCTTAGCGCCACGTGTTCTACACGTGTCGAGTGTGCATGCGCGTTTGGAGCCGATGCTGCGTTTCTAGGTATACAGCCTGCGCCGCGGGATGGGAGAGACCCATCGTCACAAGGCCATTCCTTGGTTATCCTAGTAGTAGCAGGCGCGGTAAGCAGGGAGCGTTTTGGCGCTGGCTGTAGCAGTGCTACTGCTAAAAATGCTCCCCCCCCCCCCCCCTTCCCCCTCCCCCCAAAAGTATGTAGTAGCAAAGCTGATCCCCTAACACATTTCCGGCGCAGGCTGAATATATCCATCAGCGTCAACGCAGACCCGTACGCTGTCCACTCTTCACGTTGTGCCTCGAATGGTCCTTTGTTGATAAGGGGGGAAGTACAACCAGGGTTATAAGGTTGCTACAGGGGTGAAAACCACAGCCTGAACACAACTAAGCAAGTCAACAGCAGTGCTGTGATGTGATAGCACTACTGAGTGCTATCACTGCACATCGTCTTCTCCCTCCAGAGTGCAGCGGAGCTTCCCAGTGCCTAGTAGCGGCTGGAGGGTGTTCACTGTTGTCGCCGGGGCTGCCACAAAGCCAGCGTGGTGCTTGCCGATCAGTGCGTTCACCTGTGCCCGCTGCAGCGTGTACTGCACGGCCACCTTTGGCGGAAGCCGTGTAAACCATGCTTCTCCGCTTTGCGTGAGCTGTGTGGGTTCAGCGTTGTGCAGCCTTTTGGCCGCAAGCTCTGCGCAAAGGCGGGGGTACTCCAAGACCCCGGAGGAGCAGTAACCAACCAATCCGAGCGAAGGTGTCGACTCGACAGCCAATGGCGATGAATGAATCATGAACCCGACCCAATCCGAGCGAGCGGTGGCGGTACTTGTGCTCCTCGAAGACCCCGGGGGAGCAGTAAT